TTTTGTTTTTTTTTTTTTTTTTTTTTTTTTTTTTTTTAAGAGTTACTTCACTTAGATTTTGAAATACTTTGGGTAAAGTATTGCTAGCGGTGTAAGCTTAATATCTATTTTTCTGTAAGTACTAGTCTTTAGAACTAACCTGTGAATTGTAATATAAGTGGCTAGAGACCTCTCATAAGGAAATAATTTTTCCCTGTCAGGTTTTTCCTTATGCAGACATGGGGAGGTCTGTTAGGAATAAGTTCCACCTTTTTCAACTCACTGAATATCCTACAAGATCCCTTAAGAAAGTGGCTTTTTCTTGCTTTTGTTCAGTTGGAGGAACTGAAAAGGCAAGGGATTTGGGGGTTTGAGGGACCCAAATCAGGGGTCATTCTTTCCCTTCATGTGGACATTGAAGTTTGCAAAAGAGAAAATTCCCAGCCAGTTCAATAAAAGAGCCGAGTCTTTCACCCCCAAGAACACTATGGTGAAGACAAGGGGCTGCTGGATTGTGAGGGGAATATGGAGTCAAAGGCTAAAGGGCAAAGCCCAACCTGATAAATCCTCTTCTGTTCTTTCAGAGCTCAAAACAGTGTTGGTTCTTTGGGAATACAGTTAGAAAGGGACCAGCTGTACTCCATTGTGCCTTCCTAGGTTCAAGAGTAGGAGTGTCCTACTCAATTAATGAGACTTGTAGGAGTGGAGCTATGACATGTTATGACATGCCATAGAAGGCTATAAGCACAGTATCTCCAGACAGTGGTGCTTTACAGGAGACTGGGGTTCTTAGGGTTTGTTAATACATCTGTAGCTGTAAACTGCTCTAGGGTCGCAGGAATAAAACTCCCCTCCTCTCCCAGTCTTTTCAATAGCTTTAAAAAGCTCAGTAAGTCATAGTAATATATCTGCAACATGGGGAATGAGTACTCAGTGCCATTAAAAGTACTTGGAACAAACAACGCATCTTCCAGAAAGTAGAAGTTAAGGTTGCTTTTGCTCTTGTCTTGATTTTTCGTCTGCTGAATAGCAGTGCTGTGCAACTGTTGAACTCTTTAAGAGTGTATGTAGCCAGCCGCGACCGTTAGAAATGAGATTGGCCTAAAACATTAAAACAACCGCACACAGTATCCAAAAGACTGAACTGCCAACACCACACATGGCATAGCAGGGTTAATCATTCCTAGAATCTTCACCAAGCATTTAATTCTTTGGGAACCCGATCCTGTAAAATGCTGTCTAATAATTGAGTCCCGCCCAGAGTGTTGTTAGAAGCAGAGCTGGCTTATTTTCTTATCTAAATCTTTAAATTTAGACTTAAGGCAGCCCTTGGAAAATGGCAGCTTTTAGATTTCACTCATTTTTTGATACAGAAAAATAACGACAATACTTTCTGGGCAAGGAACTCAGGAAAATAACAACAGCTTTTGACTGCAGGAAGACCATAAAAGAGCATTTTTTACTCTGGATTCCTGTTTCAAATTTCTGGCTTTATCTGGTTAATAACATGTAGGTGTTTGCATATCTAACAGTGCTAATATTGTGCAGCACCCTTAGAATGATCGTATGGTACCCCAGGGTGCAACTGCACCCTCGTTAAGCACACAGACTAGATGAATGATTCTCAGAAGAAAAACAGAATGCTGTGTTAAGGTAAAGCTAACCATTACAGGGTTTTTCCATATAGCACTTTGATTCATCCAGCAGAAAAGGGGAAGGATGAAAGCTGACATTGTTGCAGGAACAGAATTAAGGTGGTTTGAGATATGCAACTAACATTCCTTAATTCAGAGTCACCTGTGCTTGCAACTTCACTCCGTTTTACTGAAGCTTGTGTAGGAGGAAAACAAGGAATTGTAGTGCCTGAAAACCAGCTCCACCAGACAGCACCTTAGATGTGCTTTAATGCAGGGGATAGTTTGTTTAAGCTACCTCATGTATTTGGCCAAAATTGCTTTGTTGAGCTATAATAAAGGTATGAATTAAATCCTGTAAAGTTGGAGTAGGGAAAACCGCATCTTCTTGCATGGGCTTTTTGGAATTCTCCATTTCTGATTCTAGCAACAGCATGAAGGAAAAATGCAAGAGGGTATTTGGAGAAGAAATAAGCATTGATACATGAACATAAAAGTGTTTTCCTTATGACAACATACTTTTCATACATGGGAGGGGAAGAGCGCCCAGGGCAGATGATGGCTTAGCCTGCCCCAGATTTGAATGGTTCATTTAGTAGTGTGAGTACAGGGGACAAGTTCTTTACCTCCCCACCTTTACCAGCCCCCCCACCCCTCTACCTTTTGCTCCAGCTCCCCACCCTAGCTGCCTGGAACTGCCACTGTTTCCTGACTAGGCTTGCTGCTGATGCTACCACTGTTGCCAGCTTCCCTGAAGGATCAGAACTGTAGCAGAAAGTAGGGAAGGGGATAGGCATCTGACCCCTCACCCCACTACCACAACAGTGTAGAAGATGAATTTTAGGATGATCTTCCACCAATTAAGTTCTGTACATGGAAAAATACTAATAGATTTACAATTTTTTATGTAATTAATTGTGGGGGGGGGGAAGAGGAAGGAGAGTAGGTCATCTTGGATCTGGGCAAACATGGTAGTAAGTTCATACAAAGCCTCCAGTCCATCAAGTTTCTGCAAAGAAACTGGGCTACTGGAAATCTAAAGGAAGAAACAAATAAACACCTTTGCTTCACTTCTGTAGAAGAATGCTGCCATATGGAGCCCTACAGTATCTGATTTTGTATCTTAGGCTCTGACTGGACCGCTATATTCCACATGCTCCCTTCTCAAAAATTTCTCTCCCTTCTACTAACCAGAGGTCTTATTTCTTGTTCAGCTCACCCCCACCCCTCCTAACATCTCAGGTCATCAGAGATACTGCACAGGATTTCTAAAGTAAACACCATTAATTAATGGGACTAAGTCTTGTTGATGGATCTGTTATTCCCTACATGTCTGGTATACAGTTTGGAGTATCAGGAACACTGGAATAGATGGATCAGTGCAAGCTTCTTTGCTGGAATAGATATATGTTTTTATTTTAGTAATATTCCTGCCCTTTGGTTGATATGGAAAGATTTGAGACCAATCAGTAAAGCGTAAGTTATGGCTTTGGGAATAAGGTCAATTAGACAGACCTCAAATTGAATTCATTTAATCTGAAACTGACACATGCTAAAGATCTTGATGCCTGCATGCATCTTCCACTCATCTGTTAGAGGCAATAATGATAAAGCAGAAGCCTGCAGTAAGTAAGGGTCTGTTTAAAAAACAAAGCAGCAGAATTTAAGTCCATTATGCTCTTGTTTAAAAGTGAAAACCTTTTACCTGAAAGAGGTATTAACAATAAGACTGTCTAGATGGGTAGAGACTAGAGCAAGACTTTTCACAAGATTCACACAGAAATCCAAGTGGAGTTATTTATTTAAGGTAACCTCTTCTACAGGTACAGTACAAGAGGTCAGAATGTCATAACCTTACAATACAGGAATGCAGAATAATTGTTTAGATGAAAGGTCCCATACAAATGTTCTGGTCAGAATATATCAGTAGTTCAAGTTGTTGCTGTGGTCCACATCTTTAGTGATCTTCATAGCCAGTTGGGAGAGGATTGACATGGGGGTTGTGGAATAAACTTTTGTTCCCATCTCCCCAGGGGAAGGGCTGTTAAAAAGAAGAAATGTGTTAAAAATTGCTTGGTAATCGCTTGACAAAAATGCTAAGACACAAGAAAATAACACCTGTAAAAGGTAGTAAGGCCAGGCTCAAGAACATTATGCAATTGAAAGGCTAGTGAATGAGCCAACTGATGCAGACCTCACACCCATCATTTATGCTAGAACATAAATGGTAAAAGCACAAAATGGAGCTTCAGTTTAAGTCCGGGGTGCTTGGATAAGTTACCATCTAAAAGGTAAAAAAGACAAAAACTTGTAATGCAGAGATGTGCAAAGAGCAGTCACAAGCATGTATTTGTAGCAATGAGTTTGAGTCACAGTATATCAAAGACAACTATGGATTAGAGGCAGCTTAGTATGAATCCATTCTGCATAGAAATGTAACAGTAGAATGACAAATTAGAACCTGCTAATATTCTTGCCCTTTCTTTCAACAAATGTCCTATGGATGACAGATGCTAACCACTATTTAAAGGATTCTCTCGTTCACAAGGCATCCCTCTTACTTCAACATAGTTGCAACTCCTATGCCTGTATAACCCCTACATAGATAACTCTTTTTCCTTATTCATTAGTTTAAGTCTAGCTTAAGATCAGAGAGATGTGCTATTAAGAGCAAAATTGTTTTGATGATGCATCAAATTCACTCCCAAGAAAATGAAAACAAGATGCATCCATTTACAAAAATGTCTTCGATGAGATCCAAAAAACTCACAACCCTCATCACAGGAAGTGAACACTTGAAACGTTACAAATGCAAAGATGGTTCCTTGTCTTTCAGCAGACAAAAGGCGGAGTAGCTCACAAAAGAACCATACTAAGTGATTTGAGGAAGTAATTGTCTGGGCCATACTGCTGCACATACCTTGGTCCTGATACGGAGGTGAGGATAAGGAATGAACTCTGGTCTCTCATGCTTGTGCTGCGCCTTTAAGTAGCAGTTCAACATGCAGACTGCAACACCAGGTAAAGCAACAGTAAAGGTCAGGATCTTCCACATTCGAGCTAGCAAGGAGGGAAACAGGATACTGAGGATGGGCAGCATTAGAGATATTGTTCTAGCAAGTGTGATTTTGAAATTGTTTGAGGAAGTGTTAGTAAAATGAAATGGAGCCTCATTTTATATTATTTTTGTTACAGAATGGGAAGTTCTGCATAACAACTTGTCATTGTTAAAGACTTTGGAAGCAGTCTCAAAATGAAGTTTCACAGTTCACACACGCCAAAAAGACCTGTTATTTCAAAAGCAACTTCTACAAAGCTTTGCTTATCTATGCTCAAGAATTAGATTTATTTTAAGTGGCATGTTCTGACAGACTTTTAACAGTGGATTTCAAACTAAACAATATTATGATTGGCAAAGTAATTCATTAGCCACAGCCTGCTTAGCATTTCCTTCTTTTCTTTTTTGTTGAAAGATTTGGTTATATGGGGCTAAGCACACAAAGCAAGCTTAATCATTGTAATGCTCAGTGCTCAACTTCAGAGCTTAGCCACCTAGTGGAGTTCCCACCTTGGCTTCATATATGAGGCACTGAGAATTAAAAACTCAATAATAGCATCCACAAAAGCCAACATGCTTTAAACAGGGATCTTCTGACAGTGACAGTTAAAGATACCAAAGACAGGGAAAAGTCTCAAGCCCTGACTCTTCAGAGCTTAAGCAGGGCTGTCCCGGGGGCAGGAGCAAGGAGTACCAAATCAGGGCAACTGCCCCAGGCCCCATGCTTTGGGAGGCCCTGTGGAGCTGGGTGGGGGGCAAAACAGCAGCAGCACAGAGCAGCAGCTCCACATCCAGCCACTCACTACCCTACCCCCACAACAGTTTCTCTGGGTCCAAGCCCCGATGGCAGCAGGGGTAGGGCCCCACAACCTAGTTGAGTCAGCTCTGGGCTTAGGCACCACACCTCCCCTATTAGGGATTTGCCCTGCACTTTTTTCCAGTAAGCACCTATGTGCTTCCAAAGCCAGGAGATGGTGACACTCTCCTTTATCCAACACTTCCATTGGAAAAGCCCTCAGTTGGAAGGAGGAAGAGCTAAGCTGAAATCCCTCCCCATGGCCAGTAAGGCGGGCAGACACAGAGAGGCGGGAGGTTTAACCCATATGCGTCCAGGGGGGTGGTCTTTGTAAGCAAGCCACGTGCTGGCCCCCAATGGACAAAGCATTCACCTAGGAATCAATAAGAATGGATTGAGGAAGAGGACTTGAGCCCAAGTCTCCAAAAGACTGAACAAGAACTTTAACCACACACATCAGATGAGGGGGCAGCATGTGTTAGTCATTAAGTCCACCAGGAGAAGGCCTGGTTGATCCAGCCTGCAATTATGGCAGTGGAGGAATACTTAAGGGGAGAATCTGGCTGAGGGCAGAGCTGGAGCAGCCTGTTGTGGGTCAGCCTGGAAACTGCCTGTCAAGCCCTGCAGACATCTAGGAAGCTTTTATGCTAAAGGTTGGGGCACTCCCTAACTTGAATTGCCCTCAGGATGCAGCAGCACTGGAGGCCCCATGCGCCCTTGGGCGGCGCACCCGAGCGCACGACGCAGGCACCCC